AATAGCACGCCACAGGAGAAAAATTTCAAACAACAATTCCTCCTCTTAGGAAAAAAAAAAAGGTCTAGCCCTATCCCTCTTGCAGTTATCATTCTTCAAATATATGCAATATTCTTGGCACTATAAAGAATGTTTGGCTTGATACAGATTTGACATGATGTTCTGTTTAACCACATAAAGGTACCTTATATATCCAAGATCCCTTACTGTAAGAAATACAAGCATTCTCCAGATGTATTTTCATTTAATTTTCTCAGCATCTTTTAGAGACAGGTACAATCTCAATAGTAAGGTTCCAGTTTTCCAGCAGAGAAATCTGGAATGGGGAAAGGTTAAGGGAGCAATGCCCAGTTCAGTGGAAATGTTCACAGCTGGCGATAGTGCCTTAGGAAGAAAGATGGGTCCTGTAAGTAGACAGGAAGATCCTGCGGTGCAGGGGTGGTGGCCTGAGTTACAGGCAGCTCTCAAGTCTTTTTGGTATTCAGTTTTCCGTGTTCTACTTCTCATGCAGCAGTAGGCGGGGGGCGGGGGGTGCCTTGTCCCCTTAGTGCAAGTGAGGTAACATAGAGTGGGAGAAGGTGCTGACAGCTTGTAGAGTTTACCCAGACAAAAACCCTCATCTGTGGATTGTGCTAGGCTGCTCTGGTGTTAGCTCTCAAACAAAGTAAGAGTTAGTATTAGCCATCGTTTGTTTTGTTTTGTGTGTGTGCCAAATGTGGGTATGTATGTGCTGTGGTGTGCTTCTGGAGGTCAGAAGACAACATGGGAGTCAGTGCTCAACTGCCACCTTGTTTGAGACAAGGTCTCTTTATTGTTTTTCTGTTCCATAAACCAGACTAGCTGGCCCCTGAGCCTCCAGGAATTTTCCTGTCTCCCTTCTCCATATAGGAGTGCTGAGACTACAGATGCTCCTGCTACTTGTCCAGTTTTTATGGGGACTTAGGGGATTCAAACTCAGATCCTTATACTTGGCAGCAAGTGCTTTTGCCAACTCAGTCATCTCCCCAGCCCCAGCATCTGCAACTTGTGCCATGCTTTCTCTTTTTTTACCCTGAATATTTTATTATATAAGTATTTTCCATTGTTACGAAAGCTTTTCTGGGTTCAGCAGTTAAGAGCACTAGCTGTTCTTACAGAGGACCAGGGTTTGATTTCGAGCACCCACGTGGCAGCTAACAGCCATCTGTAACTCCAGTTCCAGGTGATCCAGTGCTCTCTTTGGCCTCTGCAGGCCCTATATGCATGTGATACTCTTACATACCTGCAGGCAAAACACTTATACACATAAAATAAAAACAAATAAACTTAAAAATACATATATCTTGGGGCTGGAAAGATAGCTCAGTGGCTAAGAGCACTGACTGATCTTGCAGAAGACCGGGTTCAGTTCGCAGCATCCACATGGCAGCTAACAACCATCTATAACTCCAGTTCCACGAGATCCAATGTCCTCTTCTGACCTCAATGGGCATTGCATGGATATGGTTCACTTACACACATGCAAGTAAAACATTCATACACATAAAAATAAATAAAAATTTAAATATATTTAAACCTTTGCCATAGACTAAGGATATAGCTCAGTGGTAGAGCACTTGCCTGTGTAGCATGCACAGAAACCTGAGTTCAGCTCACAATAGCACACAGGTATGTACACACATACACAAACACACACACAAGAACTTATAAATTTAGGGCCCTTGTAGCATACCATTGCCTGGATGCACCATGCTTTGTATAACCATTCTCCCTTGAGTGGACATAGAAGGTCTCTCAGTCCATTTGTGATGCTCTCATAAAATATGTGAGACTTTAAAGAACAGAAATTTTCTCACAACTGTGAGGCTCATCAAGGTGCTGGGAGGTTCAGTTACCTGGTAAGGGGTGTTGACTGCTGCCAAGATGATGCCCTGTCACTGTATCCTGCCTGAGAGAGGAACCCTGTATTCTCAAGGATAGAAGACAGAATAGTGGGCAAGCTCTTTTACAAAGATCTCACTCCCATTGTTAATGGGACACCCTAATGGCCTGATTTCTTCTCACATGCCCCACCTCTAACATAATCACACTAGCCATCAAGTTTTCTTTTAGAGTGTCACAGCTGATCCATAAGGAGGTCTTTTCCCAGCTTTGAGATGGTACAGTTAATGCTTCTGGGAACATCCTGACTTATGCGCCTTGACCTAAATTTCAGATAGTTTCCTTAAAATCCATCTCTAGACATTTTCCTCTCAGTCCTGTCCCTGAGTCTGAAGCTAGCAATTAAGTTGACTTGGGGCACCTTTCCTAAAACCCTGTCACCAATTCTGCTCTTCCAGAGGAGCAGTCAATCCCTCCCAAGGTGGATGAAGATGACACCCTTCCAGATATAGAGCCTCCACTGCCGGTGCAGATCCAGATAGCCAAGGACGTGATGGAACGCTGCATCCACTTGTCATCAGATAAGCATCTGAAAATCCGCTTGAAGGTCAGTGTGCAGGCCCCTCTGCATCTGCAGAGCAGCAGGTCTGAGACAAGCTGTGCTTGCTGGTGGCTCTGTGGATAAGCAACAGATTCCCTTATCTTCTGGTCCATGTGTGATGTCCAAGAGAAAGCATCAAGAGGAGTTTATCTGTGGGACAACAGTTTCACATCTTTCTTTGTCAGCTCAGATGCCAAGAGGGAGCTGAGTTCCCTACATTGAAAACTATAGAGTTTGGGGGGTAATGCAGGATGCAAGTTTTAATACTTTAAAGCTGTCATTCTTCAAGGTCTGACCCTTATCTCTATTTCTGTTTCTATTTTCATTATAGGAAAAACTAATACAACTCCCTCATAGATCAGCAGTTTCCCAGGCAAGCCCCCTATCAGCAGGGACTTAAACCATGCACAGTGGCTCAGTAACAGAACAGTGAGGGGCAGAGGGGGGTTGTCTCAGAATCAACTCCAGAAAAGATCTTACACCAAGGAAAAGTAACACCTCTCCCCACCCCATGCAGGAGGGAAAACAGCTGCCTTTGTGACTCCTGATGAGTAGCCTTGCTCCAGGTTGGGGGCACAGGTAGAAAGCCCTGATCCATGTTTTCTTCTAGTCTTCCTAAGACATCTATCCATCCATAAGCCTTTGTGTGCATGTGACATGCAAGGCTTCAGTGTCCATTCCTGGTCACTACATCTGGCAGCCTTCTGAATACACTTCATTTAGGTGGCAGCTTACACACAACACAGTTGGGCTAGCAAGATGTCTTGGCAGGTAAAAGCACTTGCCACACAAGCATAACGACCTCAATTTGATCCCTAGAGCCCATATAAAAGTGGAAGAGAGAAACAAATCCCAAGGGTTGTGACCTCCCTCACATCCTGTTGTGGCATACAGGTCCAGGCACCCCCTCCAACACACACACATACACACATACACACACAATAATAATAAATAATTTGAAGAGGACTGTCAGTGTGAGAGTGAGACCCACATGGTTGATTCCAGGTGGTACCTCTGGGCTTCATTAGCCATGTGACCTTGAGTAGGTTAGTTTACATATTGGAACTGTAGCATTGGCACATTAAAATGGAGATGAGGATGCCAACCTCGTAGGGGTGTTGATAAAGATACTCCAGCGTGACGTATGGCATGCACGCTCATTCACTCAGTCCCTCATTGAGTCATTCACTCAGTCCCTCATTGAGCACTTCTGTAGGTCATGCCGAGGGTGTGCGACATGATCTCTGTCTTCACAGAACTTCCTGTCTGTTGATGGGAGAGAGGCAAGACACAAACACATCCAAGTTGAGGTGCTAGCAAGGTACTAAGCAGGCTTCCAGATAGAGAACAGAAATCTACCCATGGGACAGCTTGCTTTCTGACCCACACTAGCCAGCTAAGGAGGGTGGCAACATTTCTAATTACACAAAGGGGCAAAGGCAAGGAGAACGTTCCAGGCGGAGGGGAAAGTGGGTGTCTTTGAGTCCAGGAAATCTGATGTATCTTGTCCAAACAGTGACACAACTAATTCAGAGGTGGTCATTGACACTGAGGCCATTGGTATTGTACTCCTGATCCCCTCTGTCCTGCCAAGCTCTCTCCTCTATTCTGAGCTTCTGGTACAATGTCAGCCGCTTGTAGGTAGCACGCAGTAAGACTCCTTTGGCCAGCTTCACTGCCTTTCTGACTCAAATGCACATACACCGTGTGTTCTGTGAAAGCAGCCCATCCTTGCAAAACCTGTGCAGGCTGCGATATTGGCTACTGCCTACTTTTGATGCTGGCTTTCGGTGTTCAGTGAGCCTTAAGATGTGAGAGATCAGGAAACATTTGAGAATAAAAGATCAGTGTGCATCTAGGCTAGCCCAGAACTACCAGGAGAGATTGGCCTGGCTCTCAGCTGTCTGCCTGGCTCTCCTGGTTATCAGCTTCTCAGCCTGTTCATCCTTCCTGGTTCTTGTCTTCTGCAGTGGCACCACTGCTCATGGCCTGAACCTGAACAGCTCCATCTGTACCACCTCCTCTGCTCCCTGACACTCCTGCTGCTGTCAAGCTATTTCCCCTCTAGAACAGGTTCCACTCTCCTCACGGCTCTGCCTCTGCCACCATGACATGCCACATCTCTTTGCCATGGACTCCTCACTTCTTTCATCTCTTCAAATCCCTTACTATCAACTAGAACAACCCTCAGAAAACAGATTATGGAATTTCTCTGCTCAGAACACCTAGATGATGCCCCAGTGTATTTAGGACAAAATAAAAGATTCTTAACGTGACTCTTTATGGTCTAAGGCCCATCTTACCCTTACTGTGTCACACCTGTTTGCGTTAACCTGGGTAAGCTGTGGGCCTTTTAGTTTTCTGTTCTCTTTGTGTTTTATGGTGCTGGGAATGGAACCCAGGGTACTAGGCAAGCACTCTACCACTGAGCTGCTTCCCAGCCTCAGGGTCTTCTTTGTCACAGTCCAGTTGTAAGGACCCTTGCTGTACACAGGACTAGTGCCCCTCCATCTGTGTCTCATTTAGAAGCTGTTCCTCAGAGACGTCTTCCCAACAGTAAGCTTTAGTCTTCCCTTAGTTTCTTTGCATTCCACCCTTTATATTCTTTCCTGAGATGGTAGATAGCTAATTTCTATTGAATCTTACCTAAAGTCTTTTCCCAGTTGACCCTAAACTCTGTAAGGCAAGGCAGTGTGTCTTTTTTGCCCTTCTGTGCTCGCACCACTGCTCATGGCCTGAACCTGAACAGCTCCATCTGTACCACCTCCTCCGCTCCCTGACACTCCTGCTGCTGTCAAGCTATTTCCCCTCTAGAACAGGTTTCACTCTCCTCACGGCTCTGCCTCTGCCACCATGACATGCCACATCTCTTTGCCATGGACTCCTCACTTCTTTCATCTCTTCAAATCCCTTACTATCAACTAGAACAACCCTCAGAAAACAGATTATGGAATTTCTCTGCTCAGAACACCTAGATGATGCCCCAGTGTATTTAGGACAAAATAAAAGATTCTTAACGTGACTCTTTATGGTCTAAGGCCCATCTTACCCTTACTGTGTCACACCTGTTTGCGTTAACCTGGGTAAGCTGTGGGCCTTTTAGTTTTCTGTTCTCTTTGTGTTTTATGGTGCTGGGAATGGAACCCAGGGTACTAGGCAAGCACTCTACCACTGAGCTGCTTCCCAGCCTCAGGGTCTTCTTTGTCACAGTCCAGTTGTAAGGACCCTTGCTGTGCACAGGACTAGTGCCCCTCCATCCGTGTCTCATTTAGAAGCTGTTCCTCAGAGACGTCTTCCCAACAGTAAGCTTTAGTCTTCCCTTAGTTTCTTTGCATTCCACCCTTTATATTCTTTCCTGAGATGGTAGATAGCTAATTTCTATTGAATCTTACCTAAAGTCTTTTCCCAGTTGACCCTAAACTCTGTAAGGCAAGGCAGTGTGTCTTTTTTGCCCTTCTGTGCTCTGAGTTCCCTAATAACTGGCCTGTGCTGAGAGGCCAGGACTTGGCAGACTTACTCTCAATGTACTTCTCAGTATTACTCTTTTTAAATGGTGACTTGGTCCTGTGTATCTGGTTTCAAACCTTCACTGTTGAAATCCTGTCTCTTCTTTCAGGTTTTGGATGTGCTAGGCTTGTGTGTGATGGTTCTGCGGTCCCACAAGAACCAGCTCCTTCCCTTGGCTCATCGGGCCTGGCCTTCACTTGTGCACCGACTCACAAATGATGACCCCCTGGCTGTGCTCAGAGCTTTCAAGGTACAGCACTGATACCCCTGTCCATCACAGGATGGCGGTTGCAAGCAGAGAGCTCACCAGGGGCCCTTTGCATCACTTCTCTCTTTTATCTGATTGCAATGTCACAGACCTGGAAGAAAGGACAGAAAAAGAAGAAAATAAAAGACCCTTTCTTTTGAATTTAAAGCTGAGAGAACTAGTAAGGCCAAGGGCCAGCCAGTGTTCCCTGAGCACCTCCCATGTGCCAGGTGGTGAGCTCAGTGTTTCCCCACCTGGATCTCATGTCACAGTAGCTTGCAAACCCTCATTTTAAAAAAAATACTTTATTTATTTATTATTATTATTATTATTATTATGTCTATGCATGTATTGCCTGCATGTATGTAAGTGCATCTATATCATGCATTGCCCTCAGAGGACAGAAGAGGGCATCAGATCCCCTGGAACTGGAGTTACAAAGGGTTGTTTTTGCTGGGATACAAACCCAGGTCTTCTGCAAGAACAGCCAGCACTCTTAACCACTAAGCCATCTCTCTAGCCCCACAAACCTCCATTTTTTTTTTGGCAAAGAAGGAAATAAACTCGGAGACAATAAGTGTCTTGGGTGTTGTTGGTGGTACACAACCTTTAATCACAGCACTGGGAGGGCAGAGGCAGGTGGATCTCTGAGATCAAAGCCAGCCTGATCTATAGAGTGAGCTGCCAGCCAACTGGGGCTACAGTTGCCTCAAAAAAATAAAAAGCAAGTGTCTGGGGATCATACAGCTAGTGAGAGACAGAATTCAGGTCAGGCTTGTGTGCAGTGATGACTCACTGCACAAGAGTCAAGGTGAAGGGGCCTCATTCTGCCCGGGACCCCCATTTTCAAGGTGGGGCTTAGGAACACCCATCCCCTTTCCTCACGGTTTGGTCAAGGATGAAATAGGACTCTCTAGTGAAGGCCTTCAGAGAGCTACAGCCTATAGAGATATCAGGTGTTACCCTTCCTGACTTAGTCTGGCTTATAATAGCACATGAATTTTTGCTTATTTATTTATATCCTTCCTTGTTCTAAAAAACACTTAATGACGTCCTACAGAGAGACATTTGCCATGCAAGGTAGCATAAATTAGAAGGATGAGCAAGATGAGGCAGGGAGATGTGTAGGGGCATCAAATGAAGCCGAGAATACGGTTAATATGCCTGGCAAAAGTAGTTTGATTTTCTGTAATATCCTCCAGCAGGTACTAGGCCAAAATACCAGCTTATATTCAAAGAACATAAAATTGTTAATATTTTTCCAAAGCAAAATGCACAAAATGGGGTGTGTGTGTGTGTGTGTGTGTGTGTGTGTGTGTGT